AGAGAGGGATGTGTTCATATATATATATATATATATATACATATATATATATAAAAATGAGTGCTAGTGCAATGATGACAACACATAGCACTTTAAATTTTTATTGATATGATGATATTTAGGCAGCACAATAAATAATAGTTAAAAAAATTGAAATAAATCTTGTCATGCATTTTAAAATATTGCAAACTTTTACATTTGTTTTTTAAAATATGCATTTATTAGAAAATATTGTAGATTTCTAAATTGTACTGTAGAAACTTTGGGCTTTTGAATGACACTGTTGACCTTTAACCTTTGTGTTTCCTTCCTGATTGCATAGAACTGTTTGAGTCTGATCTACACCATTCATGCAGATGGCCTGTCCGCCACCTTGGAGACTGTGATTGGAAACCTCCTGACCTGCGTTATCCCCATCGCTGGAGGATCTCAGGTAGAGAATTACCAGCAGCTCTTTCTTGCACCAACAGGAAAATACGATTTCAATGTAGATTTGATTAAAACCTGGAAATTGTATGCATGTTTACCTTCACTTTCAGTAGTTTGATCATATACATTCCTCAGTGTCGTGTTCTGCTGGTTATGTCACCTCTTGCAGGTTTTTTCAGGCAATTCGCAGCTTTTACAACAGAGCTTGTCATGACCTGCCAGTTGTGACAAGCTCTTCAAATACTTGCAGTTCAGTGTGACCAGCCAGACGTGTGTGATGGCTTTATGCAAATGAAAAGCATTTGCTAAATTTAAATGGTATAATGTATAATCTTATGAGTAGTTTGTAAGTGTGGGAATGGGATATTGGTTGTACACATGCAAAAGTTGGGTTATCAAATCATTAGGTTTGAATCTCCTTGTGTAACAGTATCATGAGCTGTTTGCAGGTGCAACATGTGTTACAAGTACAATTGTTAGTTAAAACAAGTACTCCTTAGAGTACTTCAAAAATAAAATGTTACTATTAATGTGTCAACCCCACAGATGTGTTCTCCAGTGGATGGAAGAAGCACTTGAGGTTTTTAACATTTAATACTGTGTTTTGCTACACAGCGGAGGAGTTGTACCACTGACGAATACTGATCGAAAGTGAAACATTTTTATTGGGGATGAAAATTCAACAACCTTGTTATAAATAATCACACAGTCCTTGCTGAAATATACAATGGGTTGGAAAATAATTTACTCCTCTTGCTAGTCCTTTTGGTTTGTTCTCATACAACAACATATTTAATAAGAAACTTGATGCTGGAACTGCTGCAAAAAGTGAAAAGACAAAGCATCGTGTTTAGGGCTTGGAATAAATACAGTCATGTCATTACCATTAATACTAGAGCCCGACTGATGTGGACATTTTGGCTATCGGCTGATATTAGGAGGAGAAGACTAATGCTGATGTACTGGCTGAACATTTTTGAGCTTTGTCCACCCCCAAGATTCTAAACTTGCTTGAACACTCTATGTCGGGGTAGAGAACCTTTTTGTCTGACAGAGCCATAACGCCACGTGTTTTAAAATGTAATTCTGTGAGAGCCATACAATATTTTTTTTTACTAAATACAAGTAAATGTGTGCATTTTATGTAAGACCAACACTTTTAAAGTACAATAAGCCTCTGAATTATTTTTAATAACATTGTTATGCTGTTGTTAATGGTGATAAATAAAGTATTTCTTACCATTAATGCGACTTCTGGTGCTGCATGGTTTTGCTGATGGCCTTGTAGTCTGGTTGATATGTAGTGAGGTTAAGCTTCATGCAGGCGTAATTATCTTGTCTTTATCCGAAAAGTCGTCAAAAAGTTAATTGGCAACATCAAGCATGAATGTTTTGGCATGCTCTCCATCTGTGAATGGCTTTCCGTTTCTCACAATTGCTAAAGCACCAGCAAAACTAGCCGAATTCCAGTCACCTTGTTGGTCCAAACACGGAGTTGCTGCTGACCAGTTTTGCACTCTGCACTGTAGCTCTTCACATGCTTTCTTCCTGCTGTCCCCCACAAGATATTTTGATGCAAATGTAGCGTGGCGTGTGTTGAAGTGCCGCTTTATATTTGAACGTTTCATCCATGCAATTTTATCATTGCATATTAGACGCACTGCAGAACCTGCTCTCTCCACAAAAGTGAATTCCTCTGTCCATTCCTGCTGAAAAGTACGATACTCCTCATCTCGTTTTCTTTTAGCCATCTTCTTCAACGCGTTTCCGCAACTAGCTAGCTAGCTGCTATGAAGGAAATTTACTTCCTGACCACGTCACCTATGTACGTTACACATTATCCGATTGGCTCCAGCCACCCGCGACCATCTTTTATATTTTTATCATTATTTTTTTAATTAAAGATTTGTCTGCAAACCAGATGCAGCCATCAAAAGAGCCACATCTGGCTCGCGAGCCATAGGTTTCCGACCCCTGCTCTATGTCTTGAAGAAGTCTTCCTGATGTGCGTTCATATTTTCTGTTCTCCACTATTCACCATAAAGTTATCAAGTGTGTTACAAAAATATAAATTAAACAAAGAAACGCCTTCTTGTTCATTGCTTAAACAGTCAGTCACTATGATGAAGGAATAATTAGTGTTGACCACAGCAACATTTTGCTTTACAGAGAGGTAAAGATTTCAGACAAATGATGCATGTCATTGAGGACGACAACGATACGTTACTAACACTGATTTTAGTGATACATACATACATACATATATATATATATATATATATATATACATACATTTGCATGTATATATGTTAGATTTATTGTTCTGGATAAAAGTTTACAGGCAATAGCCTATGCTAGGTTATCTAAACACCAACTTGAGAGGCACATAGCTAATGACAAGCACGTTGGAGGATTGAAGAGAATTTATTATTATTGATTTATTTTATTTTACAGATCAGTTAAAATAAACCTACCAGGCTCTGTTCAGCAAAATACACTACACAATATGGCTCCCTGCTTTGCCTGTGCTGAAAGTGAAAGTTAAAGTGAGCAGCCATGACTTGAAAGTCACCTGCATGTGCCCTCTGCTGGATACATTGTGCATTTACACCTTTTGCAAGTAAGGACACGGCTTGTTCCCAGTGTTAATATCTGTGCTTAATGGGACAATTATCACAGATACCGTCATGTCCCCAATCGGCCTAAAATGTCGGCCCTACCAATATATTTGTTTGGCTCTAATTAATACTATTTTTATATTAGACTTTAACATTTTTATTTACAAGAACATTTCCTCCTAGCTTCAGTAATCTGAGATATTTTTGGTAAATTGTTGCTTTTAATTAAACGCAAAAATCTATTTAAAAACCAGCTTGTAGGTTTACAGAATACTTAGAGGGGTGAATACTTTTGCAATACACTGTATATTTTTTACTTAAAGCACACTTGGTTGTGACACGTTCATTGTCTTTATAGAAAAGAAATCACTTAAAAATGTCAGCTGGTGTTAGGTTAAACTGCAAGCATCACCACATTCTGTACATTTTAATTTTTGCTTGTTTATGTTTATAAGTACTTGTCAAGGGAATAAATCACAATAGATTTTGGTGATAAAATGGGCAGTTTTGATTCACACAGTTTTCATATTTTTCTAATGGTTTTCTGTTCTCTTTAGGTTTTGTTTCCTATAAGTTTTAGAATAATTTTCCCTCTATTTTGGTTTTATTGTCCCCTGGAACAAAAAAGGGGACTTGGAAATGCTGCCCATTATTGTTGTTAGAGCAACAATAAGTGATGTACTGACTTTCATTTTAGTGTGTGGCTACATCTGCATCTAGGTGTTAGAAAGGTTCCTTTTGAAAACTGTGTTGCTACGTCAAAATCCACGATGGCCACCCGTGTATGTGTGTGTATATATATATATATATATATATATATGAGGAAAATAAGTATTTGAACACCCTGTGACTTTGCAAGTTCTCCCACTTAGAAATCATGGAGGGGTCTGAAATTTTCATCTTGGGTGCATGTTCACTGTGAGAGACATAACCTTAAAAAAAATCCATAAATCACAATATGATTTTTTAATAATTTATTTGTGTGTTACTGCTGCAAATAAGTATTTGAACACCTGTGAAAATCAATGTTAATATTTGGTACAGTATTTTTGTTTGCAGTTACAGAGGTCAAATGTTTCCTGTAGTGTTTCAGCAGGTGTACTCACACTGCAGCAGAGATTTTGGTCCATTCCTCCACAGATCTTCTCTAGATCAGCCAGGTTTCTGGGCTGTTGCTGAAAAACACAGAATTTGAGCTCCCTCCAAAGATTTTCTATAGGGTTTAGGTCTGGAGACTGGCTAGGCCACTCCAGAACCTTGATATGCTTCTTACAGAGCCACTCCTTGGTTCTCCTGGCTGTGTGCTTTGGGTCATTGTCATGTTGGAAGACCCAGCCATGACCCATCTTCAATGCTCTAACTGAGAGAAGGAGCTTGTTCCCCATAATCTCACAATACATGGTCCCGGTCATCCTCTCCTTAATACAGTGCAGTCGTCCTGTCCCATGTGCAGAAAAACACCCCAAAGCATGATGCTTCCACCCCCATGCTTCACAGTAGGGATGGTGTTTTTGGGATGGTACTCATCATTCTTCATCCTCCAAACACGGCGAGTGGAATTAAGACCAAAAAGTTCTATTTTGGTCTCATCTGACCTCATAACTTTCTCCCATGACTCCTCTGGATCATCCAAATGGTCATGGTCAAACTTAAGACGGGCCTGGATGTGTGCTGATTTAAGCAGGGGAACCTTCCGTGCCATGCATGATTTTAAACTATGACGTCTTAGGGTATTACCCACAGTAACCATGGAAACAGTGGTGCCAGCTCTCTTCAGGTCATGGACCAGCTCCTCCCGTGTAGTTCTGGGCTGATTCCTCACCTTTCTTAGGATCATTGATGCACCACGAGGTGAGATCTTGCATGGAGCCCCAGTCCGAGGGAGATTGACAGTCATGTTTAGCTTCCTCCATTTTCTAATAATTGCTCCAACAGTTTATCTTTTTTCACCAAGCTGCTTGGCAATTGCCCCGTATCACTTTCCAGCCTTGTGGAGGTCTACAATTTAGTCTCTGGTGTCTTTGGACAGCTCTTTGGTCTTAGCCATGTTAGTAGTTGGAGTCTTACTGACTGTGTGGGGTGGACAGGTGTCTTTATGCAGCTAACAACCTCAAACAGGTGCTTCTAATTTAGAATAATCAGTGGAGTGGAGGTGGACTTCTTAGAGGTGGACTAACAGGTCTTTGAGGGCCAGAATTGTTGATGATGGGCAGGTGTTCAAATACTTATTTGCAGCAGTAACACACAAATAAATTATTAAAAAAATCTTACTTTGTGATTTCCGGATTTTTTTTATTTTTAGATCATGTCTCTCACAGTGGACATGCACCTAAGATGAAAATTTCAGACCCCTCCATGATTTCTAAGTGGGAGAACTTGCAAAGTT